GCCTCTCCCTGATCCTGGTTCTGCCCGAGGTTTCCTCCTCTTAGAAGGGAGCTTTTCCTTCCCACGATTTCCAAGTGCTTGCTCACAGGGGCTGGGCTGAGTTTTGGGGTTTTCTCTGTAGTATTGCAGGGTCTTTACAATATAAAGGATCTTAAGGTGACCGTTGTTGTTATTTGGCACTATAAATAAACCTCAATTGAATTGAACTGAATTGAATCAAAAGTCAACATAATCCCTATCTTGTCACAGTTCCTACTATATTAGCTAGTTTTGTAGTTGCCCTTGATATTTGTAGTTTCTGCTGCCTTTTATCTTCAGGTTTCTGTGTTAGATTTATGTGTTTTGTTCACTTCCTGTTTCACTTTAAAGCTGAGTTTCCTCATGTGTCCTATTCTGGTTTTATTTCCTGCTTTTCTTCCTTTCAAGATTGTTTGCGGCACCTTAATTAGTTCCACCTGTGTCGAATTACCCAATCAAACCTCTCTGTATTTAATAGTTTTTCCCCTTTTCTTTGTTAAATCGTCTCTTTATTTAACCATTGTTCCCATGTGCCTTTAATGTAGTTTGACCTGGTTAAATTGGCTTTTTAAATGGCTTTTCTCGATACCTCCTTTATACCAAGCATGACACATTTATCCTTTATATCCTCGAATAACTGTCACATTGAATGAACATTGTAATTGTATACAGGTGACAGAAAATAAGTGTAATTGAATTATTTTAATTCTTTAACATCTTTAACAACATTCATTTTCAATGAATTTCAAGTGGCTTAATGTTACATTAACACAACTTTTTCTCCATGTAACTTTTTTTCACATTGTATTGTTTCAATGTTTTTGCATACAAACTCTGGAAAAACTAAAAAATGAAACTAGATGACTTTTAGTTTCACAGATTTAAGAGATGATGACTTTTTTTTGTTCTTTCATGCAACATTGTGACTCTATTCTTGAAATATTGTAGCTTCATTTTTCAGCACGTTATTGTCTTTGTGTGTTTGTTTATTGAGTTTCATCTGAGGGTTTTTATCTAAGCAGACAGTTTTTAGCTGAGAGTAAAGACAAGCGGTGAGTTTTCTTACTGTCAGAATCAGAAGTAGGAATCTGAATTTTAGCCGTTATGAACAGGAAGCAGCAAGAAAGTTCTCGTCACGTGGCCTCATACGAGCAGAGTCAGGACGTTCTGGCATTTAAACTTTGTGAGAAAACAAGCAGCTTCTAACAGATCTGATGACCACTGGGCGCTGCTATCACCCTGTCATCCTGCGGGGAGTCGGTTGGTAGAAAGCAGAGCGCCTAATGCTGGGAGGAGCAGGAGGGTTCATCGGCCCGTGCGTGCTCTGCAGAGATAAGCAAACCTCCATGCTGGAGGTGCACGGCTGATAAACACAGAAATGGGAGTGTTTTCATTTTTCTGATATGTGATCTGTTTTTGTTCCATCACATTTAGAGCGCAAAGGTCGGCTCACAGCAGCAGTTTGGAACGGTTATCGTCCTACAAAGACTCTTCAGCAGCCCTTCCTGTTAATCTCGCAGTAGTTTAATGTGCTACTCATTAAAACTATCATAAAAAGTATGTTTCAAAAATTGCACTCTTCCTTACGCATCAAGCCAAATGTATTTTCATTCCAACAAAACACCTTTATGAATTTATCATGAAATAAAACAAGATCTCGATTTGGAAGATTAAAGAGTAAACATGTTAGCCATGAAGCTGCTCTTTGGTTCTGTTGGCTTAAAGTTTAAACATCTGCACCACCAGCTGTGCACTTTCATCATAGGGCAGTGGAAAAACCACTAGTATGTGTTACTCTTTGATCTGATTTTGGTCCTTTAGGCAAAGAACTTCAGACAGTAAAAAAACTGCCAATACCTGTGATGCTTATGCTCTTCTTCTGGCTTTCTGGGGGAAATGCATGAGGACTCCAGGTGTCAAGGGCCGGTGTCCTGCAGGTTTTAGATGTGTCCTTGATCCAACACAGCTGATTTAAATGGCTAAAACCACCTCCTCAACATGTCTTGTGTTTTTCAGAGAACTAGTAACGAACTATGCCTCTCATTGCATCTCATTGATCCAGGGTGATATCTAAAACCCGCAGGACACCGATCCTTGAGGCCTGGAGTTCCCCACCCCTGCTTTAATGCCATAACCTACATTCACTCCTTCTAATAAGTCCTACTTTCAAAAGCTCGACTTAAAAAAAGAGAGCTACATTTCACCTGCCAATTTCATCCAGATACAATTAATTCTGGTAATAAAAACTAGGACAATGACCACCAAACCCAAAGTTGCAAAATGGTCCACAAACCAGTGGCTGAACATCTGTACCACCATACTTCAGAGAAACCGAACACTCCAGGGAGACCGTCCCAACATTAACATGCTTTTAATTTAAAGAGGATTTTTTTCCTTTATTTTTTGTGCTATAAATACTGTTACATCTGTTCATGGGCAGTGTACTAATAAGATAATAGAAGATAAAAAAGGAGGAGGCACAACACAGCATGTTTTAGGGAGTGGATGAACTAAAGGACCCTTTTCACGAAGAGGACTTACGGCTCTGATTGTCTGAGGACCATCAGGGCTGCAGGCTGGCTGTAATGAGCTCTGCAGCCTGTAGGTAGTGCCTTCTTTTAAAGCCTTTTAAAAAAAGATTATCGGATACATATCACAACGATAAAACTATAAAGCTGATTGTCTCACCATCTCCAGCGACCTCCTTAATGTGGGTGGCGTCTGTCTTGGAGGAGGCTTGGCTTTTAGTGGAGGATAAACGCTTCTGCTTGGTGCTCTGATGGTGGTGATGATGATGATGTCTGTTAGAGGTGGACGACCGAGAGGCAGGTGGAGGAGGAGGAGATTTCATAGAGGAAGATGGAGGAGTGCAGACGGGGGGAGGGGATGTTGACGATGAGCTGTCCACACCTGAGAAACAGAGACATGACATCACGGGTGACATCACAGAAGACGTCAAACTGAGCCACATCACACTCGGTCAGATACAATTACTCACCTTTCTGTTTCCACGGTGACAATGAGGGCTGAGCGGGCAGGAGGCGAGAGACGTCATTGGTGGAGGAGCCATCTGTCGAACAGTCATCACTGCTGTCAGGGTCTGACCTATGAGAGGCAGGGGGAGGAGCTTCATCTGCAGGAAGAAACAAGCGGTTCCAGGTGAGCTGGGTGTAGGTGAGAGGGCGGACTGTTTTACCTTAACCTTTGATTCACAGGAAGTCTTTACATTAGTTCAGCCTGGTGTTTCTCCTTGTTGATCCTGCTGCAAACCTCTTCAGTCAGCTGTGTCTCTAACAAGAATCTGTTCTTGTTTGTAAACCACTCAGACCGAAGCACCAGAAAACCTTCATATGGCTGCTCTTTTAGGAATTTCTTGTTTGGAGAATTTTGGGGAAACTGACCTTTTTGGTTT